GTACACTCTCTTGTAGTGGTTCATTGAACCACAATACCGATAAGTGATTAATAAAAGTCAAAAGACCAAAGAGGTCAGCTTAAAAAAAAAAAATAAATAAAAAAATTAATTATTAATTGCTGAAGAGGAAACAGGAACCTATAAACTTGAGTAAGGATTTCATCATCAATACCACTAACAGAGATTTGTTTAGTACAAAATTCAAATGCCGCATATTCTGCATCTGATCGTTTTTTCATATCAAGGTCGATTACTTTATGACAAGCTTCTGTTTAAGAAAAAAATATTTAAAATCATTTAATTCATCATACAATTTAGTATTTAAATTAATCAAATTAATTTATTCACTTTGCAAAATTCTGTGACCCCCTTAATTACTAATAGTTATAAATGATTGTGACTGTAGTTGTGATTGCAATTGTGATTGTTAAGGCTGGCCAATTTATCATAAATCTAAGTTAGATTTATAATAAATTGGCCAGCTTTAATAATTAATCATTTATAACTATTAGTAATCAAGAAGGATCACAGAATTTTGCAAAGTTACAGGTAATTCTGATCAATTTATAGTGATTTGTTTAAATTTGCAAGTGATTCTTCTATTTACCTATATATCATAATATAATAAATATATATTATTTCTCAATACAAATGCATAAAATAAAAAAAAAAATAAAAAAAATATATCTTTTAATTGACTACCTATTAAACCATAATGTGAAACCGTCATTTTTTTTAATTCGCTATGATAGAACTCAATAGCATTTGTTGAAGTGATTTGTAAAAGCAGGGGGAATGTTAGCGGGCCCAAAGGGCCCATTGATTTGTATTTTTGGCATAATTCCACCTAATATATTGTTGAACAGTAGGGACTTGACATTTATCGATTGCTTCTTTAATCAGTTCATCACAGCCAATTTTTGTTATTTTATGCATTGCCAAGATCATTTTACTTCAAGCCTTTGTATCATAAATCTTAGTCATTTATGTGTGCATTTCATGAACAGTACAGAAAATGATGCTGCACTCTTGTTCACCTCTAGACAACCCTGAGAAAGCTTTAGAAATAGCATTAGTTTCAACATTACTTTGGTTAATAAAAAAATATCATGGCTTCCAAGAACTTTTGAGCCATCAGATTATTCGCAGGGCCTCCATAACAGTTTCACTATCTTTGTTACTCACATAAAAGTGTGCCCCAACATCCCAAGAGCCATGATTGTCCTGAACATACAATATAAATAAGCACCAATCATACTTGTTAGTTTTATGAATAGAGTTCATTAATGTTAACCATCTAAAGTTTTGAAGCTTCTCTAGCTGGCCCGGGTGTACAAAAACCAAACCATAAGTTGACTGATGAAAAACTTCATAATGTTCCACTTGATACCCTTTATTTTTTAAAAAAGTAATGAATTCTTCAACATCTAACTTTATACTTATATTACTAGTAAAAAACATGTTTTGCAGTTTGCGAACTTTACATTTAATATTATAAACCTCCTTTCGTCACAATTCCCTTATACTATCTTCAAGATCAAACTCCTCAGCAGCATACTCTTTAATTGCATTGACAATTGTTGGCGGAGGGTAATTTTTAACTGCTTCCTTTTCTACTAAGCTTCAGACGACCTGAGAGCATTTCAATTTCTCACTTTCTTCAATGGTATGAGCATGCTCTAAGCTATCTTGAAATTGTTCAACAAGAATCTTTTGCTTTGTAACTAATCTTAAGACTCTAATTTTTGCTTGGCATAGGTTTGGCAAACGAACCTTGATTTTTCATCTTTTTTCACTTGATAATCCTTTCTTATGTGTACTCGATGGATTGTGTTTGGTAAAACGACATATAAATATAGTCACAAAACTACTCAACTTAAGAATACCCAAGAACGCTTAACTCATACATTTCCGAAGTAAGTAATTAATAAAATTTTTTGAATTTAATTAAAATTTTACTGATATAATTTGAATTGAAGTTACAAATTTTTTGTCTGCTTTTTTTCTTTTTTTTTTAACAAAAATATATGTGTATATGTTATGCGTCATTTGTAAATTCTGTCAATTATTAATTGACATATGTCATTTTTCAATTGAAAACCAACATACGTCATTTTTAAATCGGTATAAAATTTGCAAATTAAATAAAAACTGGTAGAAAGATTTATTATGCGTATTATGTTTAACCGAAAATATTCAAATTTATGTTAAAATTTACTAATATAACTTAAAATATTTGCATTGTTCACGTAAAACTTATCCACAGTGCCTTAAGTATAACGAATTTTTATTTATACAAGAGCAAGATTTAGTACTGCAATTCGTTTTTCGCAACTGCACAGATTTGAGCGAGTTTTTTTGACTTAAACCATTATTATTTGCTTTTTTAAGTCCTTGTTTCTAATGTTTTTACACGATCTCCTAATTTTTCAATTAAAGATTCCAATTTTGTGACCTTTTCAATTAATGATTGTAATTCTGACCTGGTGGGTGGTTCGAGCCTAGTGGGTGGTTCGAGTCTAATGGGTGGTTCGAGCCTGGTGGGTGGTTCGAGCCAGGTGGGTGGTTCGAGTCTGGTGGGTGGTTCGAGCCTGGTGGGTGGTTCGAGCAAGGTGGGTGGTTCGAGTCTAATGGGTGGTTCTGGCCTTCTACGAAGATACTATATATTCAAAAGTTAGTAAATGCTTGTATGTACGTATTAAAAAATAAAAGCTAATACACTGTATTTACCGGAACAAACTCATTACGTCCTGAAGATTTATAGTATTTAGCTCTTGTGAACTTGATATTCTTTAATGGCCCTGTCATTTCTTTATTACTTCTCATTCCAAAAAAAAAATCTGCCGCGTCCTCATGACTGGAAAAGTGAACATGGCCAATCCTAAAAAAAAAACAAAAAAATTTTAATTATTTAAACCTTATCAATAACTAATTGCCAATTACTGAATTACTAACTATTGATATACCTTTTACCAAGAGCTTTTCTTATATGTATAAAGTTATAAACAGTATTTTGGTGAAGCCATTCTTCCACACAACTAGCACTAACATTCATAATGTTACCAGAAATCGTGACTGTTAATTCTGGATCATAACAGCATGGACCGAAATTTCTTATGTATATAAAAAAAAAAATGTTATATTTTGCACTTTTACAAAAAATGTAACCAATTCTTTTTCTAAAACTGGAAACCTCAAAAAAGGATTCAAATTTCACAAAAGTACGGGACACTTCAAACTGAATTGTTGTCAATAATAATTTGACAACATTCTGTACTGAAGAGGGCTCCGCAAAGAGGAATAGGGCTCCATAAGGAGGAAGAGGGCTCCGCAAGGAGGAATAGGGCTCCATAAGGAGGAAGAGGGCTCCGCAAGGAGGAAAAAAGAAACATGAAAATATAAATAGGAAAAAATTTTCCTATCTGAAGACAATATGGTGGTTGTGGTTGTTCGCGTAGGCCTTGTGGTGGTTGTGGGCATGAGCCTTGCAGTGGTTGTGGGCGTGGACATTGCAGTGGTTGTGGGCCTTGCGGTGGTTATGATTGTGGGCCAGTATTTGTGAAGTGAGTTTTGTATGGTCATGTTTTACAAGCTACGAATTAAAAAAAATTTAATTTATAAATTTGCTGATCGACAATCAAATTTTGCTGTATTACGCGATTTAACGCGACATAAAAAATAATAACCAAAAAAACAGAACAATATGGGATCTTTGCTAGGAAAAGCACCCTTCAAGCCATTGTTACACAAGAATTTAATTAGGAAAATCATAATAAATCTATTTTTAGAAAAAAAAAATCCTAGCAAAGATCCCATATACATATGCATTAACATATCGTGCATGTTTATTTTTAGTAAGATTTTGTTTAAATTCTTTCAAACGTTCAAAAATCTCATTAAAACTGGATACCGAACCACCAAGTTTAGAAACTTTCCACCAGATGACTTCTATGAATTACTCCCATTTGGATTTTATCTTGTCTCGTATGTTATTCTCTGGGTACAAATCAAGTTAGTTAGGATTTTTTGACTTGTTTCCCAGGCACTATATGCAGCGCTCTATGGTAGGTATATGAGAATGCCTCAACAAATAATAATTATTTAATATTAACCTTATTTGGCACTTTACTCAGATTGATAACATGTCGCATTGCTCCTTCCGATCCTTTTGGAAGCAATCGAACAGTAGAATACCCCAAAATACTATTGTCTACAAATAAAACATAAAAATTAATTACAAAATGTTAAGATATTAAAGATGTGTATTTTCAATAATGAATTTAAATACTTCGGGAACTCTCTCAAAAGTGTTTGCTGGCAAAGATTCTAAATTATATTTTTCAATCCGTAACCAGATATCTTTACGGTAGTAAAACATGCGGTCCTTGTATTTTGCATTGGTGGTTATATAGAAATTAGCCTGAGAAGTATGAATACCATAAAATAAATTTAGTGACAAGAAATTTGAATCTGAGAAGCACTAAAAATTTGAATTCTCTTTCTTGAAGCAGTGAAATAACAAAGCAATCAAATATCCACCAAATAAATTCATATAATAGTTCGGATCTCCTATTAGCTTCAACTTCGTTATTTTTATTACCCTCCACAAAAAGCCACTTGCACTGCTTGATCTTAAACCCAATATAAAATAAATAATATTTAGTATAATATGTGAATAATAAAATACGTAACAGATAAACTCTATATACTTTGAATTTATCCAAAACATAATGCAACGAGAGTTCTTCATAATACCTAAGCGCGATGAACTTTTCTACAGCTAATATTAAAATAATAATAATACGTAATGAGAATAATAATGGTAAATATATTAATTATTCTTAAATATTCATATTACCTTTAAATATTACTCGTTGATTATCATTACAATCCCAAAAATCCTCTGGAATTACTCGTTTCAGCACTGCACGAACAAATGTGGTAACCTACATTTATTAAAATATAAAGACTACGTATTAGAAAATATAAATATTAAATCATAAGATTATTCATCATAATATTTTGTATCTGTTAAATATAAGATTCGTAGGTGTTCTTACACTATTTTCGAATTTATTTTTTGGTCATCAGGTATTTTATTGTATATTTTGACATTGCTAAGAGATAAATTTTCTGGCAAATCAGTATTTGATTCCCAGAAAGTTCTAGCACTATTATCATTATTGTATTTGGTGAATTTAGAAATTTCTTTATCTTGTGAATAGGAATTATCTAGAGTCCACTTTTTTGGCTAACCAGTGAATATTTTATTGATTCAATCAATAAAATATAACCACAGAACGTTACTTCTAAAATCATTTCTATAATCATCACAATACCTATTATATATAAGACTTAACGTTACTTTTTGTGAATATTTCTCATCATTCAAATTTTCCAGATCGGGGTACGTCCATAGACAAATCTTGTGGTATCATTTCTGTAGAAATTTCCTGAGATGATACCTTTTCAAAAATCGGTTCCCCCTTAAAGGTTTCTTGAGATGACATCACATTGTTCAGATTTTCCAAATCCATATACATATCTTGCGGCATGCTCCCTATAAAAGTTTCCTGAGATGAAAATCCTTTAAAAATTCCTTTTCCATTAAAGGTTACTTGAAATAATGCCCTATCATTCAAGATTTCAAAATCCGTGATGAAAATTTCAGATTCATGCTGTAAGTCCATATACATATCTTGAGGTGTCATTTCTTCAAAAGTTTTCTGAGATAGCACCCTTTCAAAAGTTCGTTCTCCTTTAAAGGTTTCTTGAGATGACATCTCTTCAATGACTTCATGAGATGGCATTTTTTAGAAATTTTTTGATAACATTTGGACTTTTGAAGATCAATATTCGGTTTAGATAATTCACTAATTGCAATACCTAATTGATAATAAAGAAAGTTGTACTTTCTTACCGGTTACTTGAAGATAAGAATTATTTGAAAAATAAATAAATATTAATGCAATCTTCAATAAATAAGTCATTGCTTTCTCACAAACCTACAAAATACTATACTATTCAACCTTATAAACTTAATGGGTTTATTTTATTGTAATCAGATCAGATTATTTACCTAGAGTAAAGCTTTTTCAATGCTGGTAAGCGTTAATATAATCTGTGCATGAATTTTCATATTCTACCATAACACCGTATTGATTTGGTACCTAATCACAGTTTACAATCAAGGATTATTGACAAATTGATATTTAAATGTCTTCTATACACAATATATATGTTTGAAATTTTATACTAACAGCCAAGCAATAAAACGTTGGGTTGCTGTTTTCGGCTCGAGGCCGTCTTTTCATTAACAAGTTCTATAATACGTAGCCTTATTAACCACCGCCGGTAAAATTTTAGATTAGTTTTTTAATGAACTATTTGCATGACGGTTAAACCCAAATTTATATGATCGACATTGTGGCTTAGCCAATTTTAATAAAAAATTTTTTGATTTTTTCTAAGTACAGTCAGACGATTTACCAAATAAGTAGCTGCGTGACATTGTCACGCAAAACCAGGAACGGAAGATGAAACTGCTTTCATCATAAGTTTTTTGTTTGCTTAACTTTTATAAGTTTTATTTGCAACTTTAAATTAGATTA